TGCTAGGATGCTGCAGCTGGTTACTAGGGTTTGGCTAGGAAGTTGGTAGGTCACTACATATTGGCTCCTTGCCAGCCTGAGTCAAATGAACCCAACCCATCTCTCAAATCAACGGCACGAGAATTAGCACTGTTTCGGTGAAAAGCGATTACAGAGAACAGTTGAATACACTTCAGTTAAAATGCTTATTTTAAATGCTACCTTTTTTATTTCTAAAATTCTTGTTAGAGTTTAAATGTTTGTAATATTGTAAATTATGCTGTATTCACCCAAATAAATTCAATTTGTCTAATATTTTGAACATGGGAGTTCTTGCTTAATAATTAATGTTCATCTTTTGATTACTGCTGTTGTTTCTAGTAATTCTGTGTGATTTTTAATTTCCAGCCCATTTTAAACCAGCAACATAATAACTAATAAACAATAGTTGACTTGCATAAAACAACCCAGCATGATGGGAAAAAACATTTAATCCAACCAGCTGGGTCAAAATAACCCAGCATGTGTTCTGTCCAAAATAACCCAGCACTAGGTTGCCAAATAAACCAAGTTGGGTTGTTTTTAATCCAGTATTTTTTAGAGTGTATGGTGCGGAAACCCACACCTACTTAACAGAACACCCTACTTCTTATCTGACAGCAGCACTAATTTACTTCTGTACCATACCCATTTGATGTAAAGACCACAATCCTAACCCAATACGCATTAAAAATTGATATTAATAATAATATTATTATTTTGGACAAATGTGCATAAACAACAGGCATTACAACACAGGCTGTAAAGATCCTTTACTCCAGGAAAGGAGAGGCGTGATAATGTGGGTGTTTCAGGTTTCAGGTGATCGGGATTGTTGTGGCGAGCGAAGGTGGAGCCTGGTTAATCAGTGACAGTACCCCCTCCACAGCCTGCTCCTGACATGCTGGACAATCAGGACAAGATTCATGGAAAAAGGTAAGACGAGCAGGACCCATGATCAATCCTCTGGTCCATATCGTTCCCAGTCTACCAGATACCACGGCGCCAGGAATCCGAGCTCTTCCAGGATGAGCGGTGGGGGTCCTCCATGGGACCAGGCTCTGTGGAAGAGTCAGACACAGGAGTGTGGTCAGGTAGTAATGAGTGGGTAACTTAAGGTGGAGGGGTTGAAGTGGCGAACAATGAAAAGAAGCCAATGTATCTGGGACTTACCTTCTCGCAGGGCAGGTGCAGCTTGATGTCCCTGGTGGAGAGCCACACCTTTTGTCTGGGTTGATATTTTAGCGTTCCGGTCCACCGGGAATCAGCATGACCCTTCTGGCGGTGCACTGCCCTTTGAAGATTTTGATGAGCCACTTCCCAGACCCTCTCGCTCTCCCAGAACCAATGGTCAACCGATGGAGCACGGAAATGGAGGAGGCTGGAAGCGGAATATGCACTAAAAGGGCATGAATGTAAAGAATGCTTTCCAGACGCAGTGGGTGATCGGAAATTGTGTCCTCTGGGAGGCCAAAATTGCAGCAAACACGATGAAACATCAGCCCAGCGGTTTCCATGGCAGATGAGGGTCCCTTAAAGGGAATTAGATGTCAGACTTTGTAATATCTATCTACAAGGATGCAGGTACAACTATCTGAGGGAGGCAGACTGGTTGAAGTCTCTCCGAGGTGTGACCAGGGCCGCTGAAGAAGAGAAAACATAGCACATTCAGAACATCCTTGAACAAACCTTCTCCCGTCCTGTGCCATTCCTGGTCACCAGAAGTGATCTTATAGCAGTGAGAGGGTTTGATTGGCCCCACACAGTTGTGACAGATCTGATCAGAGGGATGCATTGAGGTATGACCTGACCTCCAAGACCTCCAAGAAGATCTCTGTTCCTGATGTTGTCATTTCTCTCCACTGGGGTGAGCTTTTTAGAGAAGAAGGCACATTGATGAAGTTTTGGTGATGTCCTCTGCTGCTGAGACAGGATCGCTCCAACTCCTGTTGTAGGGGCATCGACTTCAACCACAAAGGGTTTCTTGGAGTCTGGGAAATGCTTCGAGTCGTTGCATGGCTTGGGTAGCAGCTAGAGTCCAGGACAGAGACTTGGGCCTGACTTTGAGGAGACTGGTGAGTGAATGAGTAATGGAACTGAAGTTATGGGTGAAGCATGGATAGAAATGGGCAAAACCAAGGAAACGTTGTAACTCTTTTACAGTTGTGGGAGTGGGCCACTTGCGGACTGCAGCAACCTTCCCCCATGTCCATCCGAATGCCCTCATTACTGATAACCCAGGAAGTTTCCCAGCATTGGGGTACTGTTAATCTGTTTGGAAAACACTGCTTCAGGGCTGCGTTCCCCAAAAGCAACCCAAGTTGATCATAGCTCCATTGGTGACGATGATTCTACGATCAACTTAGGCTTACGATGCTTTTGGGAAACGCAGCCCAGATTACCAAAATGTTTTTTATTCAGTAGGTTCAGGTTTTGTTTGTTTTTTAAAACTATCAACAGGGCACTTCTGGCTGTTAGGTTCAGCAAAGATGCAATCCCTGTAATGGTTGTTCATTGAACCGTACTTTCCAAATGAGACCAATTGAGTTTTTTTTTTTTTTGTAAAAAAGTAAAACTTCTGAATGTTTTTTTGTGAGTTAAGTTATAGTAGGTTATTTATAATTAGCGGTTTATGAAACAATATAAGTCTATGAAATGTCCCCATTTAGCTAAATACTTGTGTGAGAGAAATTTATTTGGAAAAGCATAGGAATGCAATGTTATTCAGCCGTTAGATTAATATGGTTGGTGGTTTGTGTTTATTTTGATGAACTGATCCCAACCAAGATCGAAAACTACTGCTATAAGAGATAATACTACTTTAAACGTTTGCTTTGCAAGTTGACATATAGTAAATCAGTGTATAAGCCAACATAAAGAAAAAGCCTGCAGCTGATGCCAAACTAATTCTGCTAAATCAAATGAAGAAAAGGTAATCACTCATTTCTGGACACATCCCTGGCAGTAGTGTTTTTCCATAAGTCTTGACACCTTTACTGGTATGTCTTACCTGTACATATTCAAACTCTACAATCATGATTGGCATTAGGGAGTTTTTATTCAGATGGTATATATTAATTTCACACGATGTGCCCAATTTACTCACTGCAACAGTAGTTTTCCCTCGAAAATGCACGCAAAATCCTCAGTTGAGCCCTGAAAATGACTTTTTTTCAGCTGGCAGGACTCTCAAGTATTTCAGTATTGTATGCAGCACATTGAGGAAAGAAAAGAAAAGCAAATAAAAACAACCCCCATTGTCTTTATTTAATTAGACATTTTACAGTAGTCACTCTTACAGTAGCTGCCTTGTTTTTCTTTTTCCCTATTGTTTCAAATATTCTATCACATGGATCAATGCAAAGGAAGAAATATATATATTTATATATGAATGCCCAAAAACAGGAAATTTTGGAAAGATATTATAATAACATGATTTCAGCCCTGTGCATTCAACAGGGTGAATGTTTGGTTCATACATGGCAATTCAGTTTCGTGGGCTATGAATCTGCAAAAAAACATGGCCGGATGAAAGAGGAACCGTATTTAAAACCTATTCAAGTTCTTCGTGCCGATTCCAGAAATGATCAACAACTCAGTGTTTGATATGTAACTATGAACAGCACACAGGTATTTCCCAATGTGCAAGAACGTCGTTTAAACAAGAAATCTAAAAACAACAACATCAACAACAACAAAAAAAAAACATTGCAACTACATTGTCGAGGTCACTTTTAAGGGATGCTGTTTGTCTACTGCCATCAAACACTTTAAACTGCCATGTATTGGACCCAATACTGAATAAAAGTGTGCAAGGAATACAGTCAGTGAACAGTGTCGACATGCATCGTATTCTGGAAGGAAGCAGCTGCAGAGCTCAGCGAAAGACTGAAGAAAAGTTGTTTCCGAGGCTCCCTGGTAGAGGCCCATTCAATAGTTCAACAGAGAAGATGGAAGTGGTTTCAAATCAGAACAATTAAAACTGTTAAAGCCTTCCTGCTCAGAGCAGCTCGTTCAGAGAAGCATTAAAACACCAGAAGTGACTCAGACTGGGAAGAATGCGCTTGCAGAATGTGTGGTTAGTCTTTTGCGAGTGGTAACACTGAATGCGGCTGGAAACACCAACTGTTTTATGCTCTAATACATTTTCAAACTAACTGGCCACAATGCATTTTTCTTCACCGTTTCTCCATTGCTAATGGGAGGCATATTTGAGTTTGGACCATTCTGGCTTTGAAGGTGAGCAGCTTTAATGACCTGACCGAATGACAACAAACCAATGCCTCGTTCTGTGAAAACCTTTCCAGATCTGCAGGAATCTACAGCAACATTCACCCTGCGACATTATATGCGATGTGTGACGACACAGCAGCTCGAGCCTAGCGACGTCTGTCCGGCTTCCCGATCCGTGTCCTTCAGCGGTCAGGAAGAGAGCAGAAATGAAGAGGGGAAGGACAGAGGACGGTCAGCGTATGGCACAGCAAGGCCGAGAGCGAGTGAAGAGAAGGGAACACCAAGCACACCATCAGAGCCCATCACCGTTAACACTGTTCACACGCACCTCCGAAAACTGATCCATCAATGAGTGAATCTCCACAAACGCCTAAAACCCCAAAATCAGAGTCCAGCCTCATTTTAGGACCATAAAGATTTTTAAGCACCTGAGTCTCATCTCTTTGACAGCAGCGAGGACTCAAATCTAATGTAAAATGCTCTTAATGGTCCCAAAGTGGGCTTTTTTTTTTTTATTTATGCAAAAAACCAAACAGATCAAATCGGTTTTGATTTTGGGGTGAGATCCACCCAAGCACACTAATATGGCTGTGTTTGAGACGAGCTCTCCACAGTAGGATGCATTCTGCATCGGGACAGAGCCAGTGTTCCCAGCAGGACAGGAGCTGTGCCGGGGTCAGCAGAGGTCATTACAGCACACTACTAATCTGTACACACACTCATTACTGGTACGGGATATCTACATTGACTTGATTTCTCCATTCACAGATGGTTGATCCAGAAATAAAAAACAAAACCAAAACAGCAAAGTGTCTGTGATGTCCGAATGTGCTGTGCTCTGGTGTGTCAGGGGCAGGAGTCTAGCTGTTCTTGAGCAGGAGTCTGTCTTCGGCCGAGGGGAAGCAGTGGAGCTGGCAGACGTCTGGAGCGAGCAGGCCGCAGGAGCGCAGGTCCACGCTCTGCAGAGAGGCGCAGCGGCGCAGCAGCGGCAGACACTGCTCCGTCACCTTCACGCAGCCTGAAACACAGCAGCGCAGTCACCACCGGGGAACACTGAGGTCTGCTGCACCTTCATGATAAACCCACACTCTAAAACACCACCGGGATTTGAACAGTAAAAGACTGTAAAAATGCTACCATAAAAACCTTTTAATTGATTAACGGTAAGTTCCCCTACTATATACGGTGAAAAAATACTGTATAAAGAATGCATCATTTACAGTGAAAAACCATAAATTGACATTCTCAGAATTACCTGCTTTACATTTCACATTTGATGTTTTTTTTTTCTTCGATAACTTCCTTCTTGGTTTTTTCTTATCAGTTGTGTACAGTAGGGTTGTGTGTTACATCTAATGTTGTTAAATTAATGTTTACTGCATTATTTCAGTTTCATGTGTGTTACCATGATGGTGTTTAGTGTTTGTGTGAATGACAACTGTGCACCTTCAACATATGTGACCCTGGGGCACAAAACCAGTCATAAGGGTCATTTTTGAGATTTATGCATCATCTGAAAGTTGAATAAATAATCTTTCCATTAATGTATGGTTTGTTAGGATAGGACAATATTTAGAGATACAACTATTTGAAAATCTGGAATCTGAGGGTGCAAAAAAATCTAAATATTGAGAAAATCATCTTTAAAGTTGTCCAAATGAAGTTCTTAGCAATGCATATTACTAATCAAAAATGAAGTTTTGATATTTTTACAGTAGGAAATTTGCAAAATATCTTCATGGAACATGATCTTTACTTAATATCCTAATGATTTTTGGCATACAAGAAAAATGTATAATTTTGACCCATACAATGTATTTTTGGCTATTGCTACAAATATACCCCAGCGACTTAAGACTGCTTTTGGGCTCCAGGGTCACAAACTGTATGTTAATATTTAAAAGCTGCTTGTGAAGGGCTTTGGTTCATCATGTGATTTTCTCATCACCTCCTGCTTTTGGTGGTCATCAGCATATTACAAAGGTACAAAACAGATTTCAGTACTTCCATAGGTTGGCATATTAACATTATATCATTTAAGAAAATTACGGTTTTTAAATGTAAATTTAAGTTAAATACATAAAGCCTAAAACGCACCCATTTTGGGTATTGCAGTCTGTACTAGTGAGCCGATGCAAAAATCTAAAAGTTTTGGATGTTACCATGTTATTACCATGCTATTACTCTACTTAGCACCTTTTTTCTTAAATTATAAAATTATCATTATACCATTGCTAGTATGCTAGTAATGGATTTAATTACATTCCTTTTAACTTTGAACTCAAGACGGCTGTAAATTTATGAAAATTTCATTTTTTCCCCTAACAAAACAAAACAACATCAACATTACTCTGGAATTCTAAAACTAAATATCTTCATTTTACTTGCATACACTTTCACTCATGATGGAAGAATGTTTTTTCTTGTTGCAATGGTTGATCAATAGGTGGCAGCAGAGTGAAATGTGGTCTATTTGGCCTTACTACTGCTGGTTCATGGAGTTTATCAAATTTAGTTCTACAACTGATGAGAAATGTGTTAAATATATTTAACCTCCGTGTCATAAGTATATTTGAGATGCATCGGAGAGATAAAACAAATGTCTGCATAACATGATGTGTAAAGATACAATGTATCCAGTTGTATGAAAAATATTAAGATATAAATACATTAAATAAACTCTAGAGGTCAGTATTTGTCTTTAAAACGTTTCCGTATTGCATGCCATAATAACTGAAGAGGAGGAAGAGTGTGTACCTGCCAGGCTGACGTGCGTGAGGCTCTCTCTCAGTGGGGATAGGGCAGAGGTCAGCGTGTGGATGCTCTGGTCTGTGATGTGGCAGCACTGACTGAGGTCCAGCTTGCTCAGGTGAGGAAGATAGCGCACTAGCAGGCGTGACACGGCGTCAGTCACCTCCAGGCCCGCCAGACGCAGCTCCGTCACGTTCTGGAAACGCCCGCCACGGTTCTCTCCGTGAGCTGCGGACAACAGCAGCACAGCTTTAGTCCCACACGCTCACATTCAGTGCAGGAAACCTGTCTTAACATGCAGCTTCTGAGCTCTGAAGATACGTCACTACAAGCCAAGAAGCCGACATTACCGATTCCATTACAAAACACTCTGGTTACACTTTACTATACGGTGTCTTTGTTACAGTGTTACTATATAATTAAGTACATGAGCAAGTAACCCTGAAGAGTTTTATTCAGCGATAACAACTGACTGGATGTACAGGTATCACTTTATTTTAAGGTTACTGAACTGCACTTACCATTATAATAACAATGAATTATGCATAATTACATGCAAGTAACACTAAGCCAAACCATATAGGAAGTACATGTAGTTAATTAATATTACCTAAAATAACGTGTAACCGGTGTACATTATCCTGTGTATTACACGGCTACTTCCCACATTTACTTAAATGAACAGACACACACACTACTGATATAACACCAAACAGCAGAACACAAATGATCAAGCTGGAGGACACACACTTATCAGCGACATCAATACATATCAGAGATTCGAAAGGGACCCTGAAAACATAAGAAATTAAAGGAAGAAAGTTGTGGAATACTTCTAACAATGACCAGACAAAAGCTACTGATCAAACGTGAAAACAGTGTCAGCTGAACTTCAACACTTCATTTTTAATACTAACACCCCAAATGTTTAATATCTTCAAAACTGTGCACTGCACTGTAAGCTGGAACTGAAGACTACCAATTAATTCCTTCAGCCAACTCATGATAAACTGCTGTTCATTCATGTTCTGTTCTGACAGCACTTTCAGTAGAGATGGACAGAGCGTCTGTGTGTGTGTGTGTGTGTGTGTGTGTGTGAGTGTGAGAGAGAAAATAAATACGCGGCTCTGTAAGAGCCATCCATCTGGGATACGAATCCCAACAAAGACGTTCCCTGAGCTCCCCTCCTATTCCCCCATGCAGCTCTCCAACCTCCTCGTCCTACTCCTCTTACTTCTGTTTATTTATTCACTCATTTTTTATTCCTATTTATTTATTTGTTTGTTTGTCAAATCAAATGGAAACTGCTGGTGGGGAAGTCAGGGGGTTGTTTATTGGTTTTAAAAATGAAATGTGATTTTTCTCTCTCTTAAATGGTTCTGGTGGTGATGGTGTGTGTGTGTGTGTGTGTGTGTGTGTGAGTGAGTGAGTGTGTGTGTGTGAGTGTGTCTCTCTCTGTGTGTGTGTGTGTGTGTGTGTGTGTGTGTGTGTGTGAGAGAGTGAGTGAGTGAGTGAGCGAGTGGAGTGAGTGTCTTTGTGTGTGTGTGTGTGTGTGAGAGAGAGAGACCTGAGCGTGTGTCGTTGCTCGGCGGGGCCAGCAGCTCCCTCAGATGCGAGTCCTTCAGATCCTCCACCCAGCTGAGGTCCAGCAGCCGCAGACAGGGACACACAGACTGACAGAGCGCTGAGACCGAGGACCACGAGCAGCCTGCCACATTCAGCTCCAGCAGCCCTGAGGAGCACAGCAGCAGCAGCACACATTCACTACATCTGCTCTGCTGCCAAGCCCAGGTCTCCATGCATCATTATTCACACAAGACTCGCTGCGCTAACCTGACTTCTGCTGCTTCGAGCACAGCTCAGCGCGGAATGATCATGAGCAGATGTAGCAGAGCAAGGGAAAGTGCTCAAAAGCACCCAGATATCGTTTAATTCTTTAACTTCTGGATAATGATTCATGATATACAAGTTGGACAAATGCTTTGATCCAGTGTGACTCAACTGAATGAGCTACAGGAATGCTCACTTGATCTAAATATGAGCATCAAATTACACATTTAAAATCATTCTGTTTCCTCCGTTACTTCGGTCAGACCAGTTGGAACACAGCAAAAAATTATTTTCATACTTAATATCTTTGTCTTGTTTTCTAGTATAAATATCTAAACATTCTTGAATCAAGATGAATTTACTTTACAAGTAAAAGGACTTACGATATTATGTCGTTTAAAAAAAAAAAAAAACACAAAAGATCAAGATTTTGCTTAAAAGAAGTAAAAATATCTGCCAAACAAGATTATTTTTCTTGCCCCACTGGCAGATATTTTTGCTTCTTTTAAGCAAAATCTTGATCTTTTTTTTTGTTTTGCATTTGCCAGCTGATCTATATTCCCTATCACTCCTGATATGTGCATGGGTCTCCATCAGTCAGGCCCCTCTCCAAGCTCTTGTACACTTGTGTGCTCACAGTACTGAGATCCTACCTTGCAGACGGTTAATGAGCCACATGAGCTGTTTCTTGGAGATGTTGGTGTAGCCCAGGTTGAGACACACAGGCTGTCGACGGATTATACTGCTCAGCATGGGAGGAGTTATGGAGCGCTGGCGGCTCAGATCGATCTGAGTCCATAACCTCTTATCACAGCACCTGCACACAAACACACGCTTCAGACGTCTGGCAGAACAGACATTTATATACATAGTAAAATCCCTGATGCACTGCTGCAAAAATAACTTTTACCACAACAAGCATAGCAATGTACAGTGAATGAATTGCAAGATTTACTAGTCATTACTTTTATAAATAATTACAACTGCATTTAAAAACATATTTTGACACGAAAATTCAAATACGTTCCGGTTACACTTTATTTGATAATTTATTGTTATCATAATAGTAAGTAAATGTGACTAGGACAACAAATAAAGTGTTACCTATATTAATCTATTAGTCTGCATGGCTTGAACATCTGTTTTGTTAGTGAACATCATTATATTTTTCTCCCATTCATGAGGGGTTTATGTCACGCCCGATACTTTGCTGCTTGTACAGGGTACAATGGCCCTTAGCAGCATGAAAAACAACACTTCTGAATGGATTAGATTTAGCCTAGAAATTGCGCAAATAGCCCTTACTTTGTAATCACTAAAGAGGTGTCACTTAGCTTCAGTTCATCGCACTCTCACAAAGTTCCTTTATAGTCATTATAAAGCAGAAGCGTCAGAAGAAGAGCAGCTGATTGATGACTGGTCAATCCCTGTCTACGGCTCGAGACACACAGACATGACATCCTCACAGCAGCACACAGGAGAACAGATGCATATGCTCAGATTCACAACTGTCATCGTGCGCTATCATAGTTACAGGGCAACCGGTGTCATTTCTGCGGCTTAGTGTCAATAAATGCTGTTTTCAGACTGAAGAGGAAGGTTGGATTCAGAGAATGGCTTCATAGTATATCTAATGTGATCAATATATGATATTTTCCAGAGTATGTACTAGAGGTTGACCGATAGTGGATTTGACGATACCGATAGCTAGGCTAGACCAAACTGGCCAATACGGATTAATCAACCGAAATGGATACTGAACGAAAACAGTACTGAACCATACTTTGTGAATGAATAAAAATATTAATATTGGTTATTATATTGATTAAAGTTAGTTCATAGTTTATTAACTAATGTTAAATGAAGAAACTTTAAAATTGAAAAATGTATTAATAATAGTAAATGTTCAATTAACACACTCTACACTACTTCTACAACTTTCATTAATCTTGATGTTACAAACGGACTCTGATTGTAAAGTGTTACCATTTCATTTCAACAGTCACGCTAAAGATGGCCATCTTTAAATATGGACACAGAGGCCACAGGATTGAAATGACACACACATGGATCTTGTTTTACACTCTCACACTTTAACTGCTTCTATGCTAGAACACGTGATGATGATCTAGTCTAGTATCACACACCGGTCACGTCACGCTCATCGCCTGCGGCGGTCTAAAACATTTCATCACCAAACCGACATACGTTTTGAAGTTACGTGTTTAAAAAAAACAGCAAACGGAAAGAGAAAGCGACATCTATATTATAGCTCTATAAATGAAGCATATTTTATTAGAGCCACAGAAAGACAAACGTGTCGCTGAAAAATGCACAATACACAGTTTACAGCCTAGGGTGAAGTCTTTATGTACAACGGACAAATATAATGTACAAATTTGGGACAAATATAATGTAATTTAATGGAAAACTATGTGAATACGTCACCTGACCAAACCCAGAAAACAGGTCTCATTAAACAATGACTTTTAAGGTAATCAGTTAAACTAGCTAGTTGTTCTTACTGTTGGCGTTTTATTACATTTTTATATCGAAATGTTAATGAAAAGAATAAAAATAAAAAACAAAACTTTTAGATATCAATCCTTATATGTATAATAATATAATAATATAGTATAGTATATAATGTAATAGTATATAATCCTTCTATTCTTTTTCTATTCTGTTTTCTTTTTATTATATAATTAAAAAGAAAACTTGCTACGTGTACTGTGTTAAGCTAACTGAGACTTGTTATAACACTTGCATATCATTGCTCTTTTGTTGATTTTGATTGCTTCCATTGTCCTCATTTGTAAGTCGCTTTGGATAAAAGTGTCTGCTAAATGACTAAATGTATATGTGATGGACATTGGTTATGATCATTTTTATATCTACTTTAAAGGCATTTTGAGTAAAATAGCTTCAAATTTAACGAAGCGTTTGCTTGAGCGGAAGCGGCGAGACCTGTTTAACAGCATGCAGAAGTCTGTGGCGTGGCAGGATTTTTCTGTCGGCTGTGTTTCTGATCTGCAGATCTGCATCTGAAGTTTCCCGCTCTGTGCAGCGCACGTGTCAAAACAAACAGCACGAGGTGTCAGTGATTTCTGCCTCTAGAGGCCGCTCTCGCACTGCATAATTACAGCAGACCTTTCTCAGTCGCTCCAGCAACAGACACAACCCGGAAAACTATCGGCATGGATTTCTGCAGATAACCGGTAGTTCCAGCTAACAACTATCGGTGCTGATTAATCGGCAAAACCGGTACATCGGTCGACCTCTAGTATGTACTTTGCACTTGTTTTGTTTGCACTGTTAAAGGGATCATCAGATGCAAAATTCACTTTTACATGGTGTTTGAACATGAATGTGTGTGTACACAACCACCCTATAATGATAAAAACCCAGCCAGTTTCCAATAATAATGATCACTTTCTCAGATTAAGCATTCTCAGATTCTTGACCCAGGCCCCTCCCACGATAGTTGATTGACACTGGTGTTTTATCACAGCTCCGCCCTGAGTGAGCTGTCATCAGTCCTCCATTGTTTCACCGCCGGAGCAGATGTAGACAAGAATGTCTCCGATTAAGCGATTGAGGTGTTCTGTTGTTGGATGTAATAATGAACATAGCAGTCGTC